TCCCAGCACATTACTATATTTAGACACTTCAACTCCAGGGTTGTCTTTATTTATTTGAGCCCTTAAACTGGACGAATTACTGTTCCATTCTCTCAGAGGCATATTTGCACCTTGCATTATCTCATTAGCCCCTTCACATATGCTCATTAGTTCCTCTTCAGTAGACGTCACCCCCAGGAAATTGTCCACATAAAATTGTTTACCCATTACTCCACTCAGTGGACCACCCGTACACTTAAGGTGTGCATTTATCGTTGCCTGGAGCAGGAACAGACTGGAGGTAGCACCAAACAATACACTCCTGAAGCGAAAAGTCTTCAGGGGACTAAGTGGGTCACTAGGATTCTCGGGCCATAAAAACCTTGTGCAATCCCGGTCAGCCTCCTGCAGACCCACTCTCAGGAAAGCTTTACTTATGTCAGCCGTAAAGGCATAATTCTTAACCCTGAAGTTTAATAATATGTCTCCCAGTTTTTCCATCAACAACGGACCTGTCATCAAACAGTCATTCAAACTAGGTACATTTTTGTTACTCCTGGCACTACAATTAAACACAATCCTCAGAGGAGTGGTCTTAGAATCCTTCTTCACTCCGTGATGTGGCAAATAGTGACCATAAATCTGGGCTTGCTCGGGAGGTACCTCCTCTATGAATTTATTATTTAACTGCTCATTAATTATATCATCGTAAGCAGTCAACAGTTCTGGTGTCTTGCTCAGTTCGTGGAGCTGAGCCTTTAATTGTCCATACGCCATCTGGTAATTAGTTGGTAGGTCTGGATGGTTCAGCTTCCACGGAAGTCTCACCCAATATTGTCCAGATTCAAATTTAACATCCTTCTGGTATTGTTCTTGAGTAAAGGAATCATCTGTACTTTCTTCATTTACATTGTTCCCTATGCTGTCCAATTCCCATAATTTATACACAGGTTCAACTTCATCCTCTATTGAAGTATATTTATACTGGGGTGATATTTAATGAGTAAGACACACCGTAACTGTATTTATGGCTTCCTCCAGTCATTCATTATCAGTACGAGGAAGCCTACCATACATTACGTGACCTGCGGTCCTTAGAAGGGTGACTCCGCATTTCTTTGTCATACCCTTTACTAAGGTGGCATAATGGTCACTACCTATCAAAATATCTATTGGCCCCACAGAATCATTATTTACACCAGAAGGTGCCAAATTTACCTTACTTGAAAGCCTTTCAGTAGTGTTACGAAGCCCTATTGTAGATATTTTCTCTGGGAGCCTATCCACAATTACGGCATTAATACGTTTTCTCTCATTGCCCAGCCTGACAGTTACATAAACAGTGTCGTATGACTGGGCCTTCTTATTCGAGAGAAAGCCAGATAACTTGAGTATAGCAGGATCTCCCATTTGTACCTTCATCCCATTAAGGCAATTACGTTTTATGAAAGTAGGTTGTGATCCCTGATCCAGTAATGCTGTTACAGTTTTGGATTTACGCCGTTTATCATTAATCACCACATCCAACACAGGTAAAGCTACCTCAGCTAGGCCATCATTACCGACATTAGCTGCAATCTTTACGTTGGCTACTGTTGTGTCCAGGTTATTATCACTATCAGTACTATTGGTGCCATCATTACGATTAGATCCGCCCTTACACATAGCTATGTGGTGTTTTCCCTTGTTACACTGATAACAATGGTGCAAGTTAGCACGGCAATCCCTTACATTATGATTTCCTAGACACCTGATACATCTAGCAAGCTCTTCCAATCTTTCCACTTTAACATCCCATGAATTATAGGCATTACAGTTCTTAGAGAAATGAGTACCGTTGCAGAAGATACAATTTCTCCTTTCTTTGCCTAACCTCTTATCAACTGGGCTACCCTTATTGTGGTACTTCCTCCTCTTGCTTTGATGTGGAGAACCACTATTACTGGCCCCTGTCACTTGATATGTGCCTACGTAACCCCGTTTAGTAGGTGACTTATGATTATTGATACTGGGATAAAGTCTCCTTTTGTGGAACTTGACAGGTGCACTGGGGTCTGTAGACGTGGTATTCCTAGAGGTAATGGGTTGGCTGGTCTGCAGTTGGACAATTAGCTCCTGCAGGCCCACTCTTATTTCTTCCAACCCAAAGTAACCCTTGTGATATCTGTTAGATAGCCACTCTACTGTCTTGTGGTCCAATTTATTCTGAATCAAGGCACTCAGCAGCCACTCTGCTCCCTCCAGATCATATTTATTACTCAAGGTCTTAAGAGTGCTTTCTAGTTTGATCCTAAATTGCTGTAAGCCATTGCGGTTGTGATCTGGAGTCTTCAAACTAGCCAAATTAGCTACTAGATCCAGCCTACTTTGCTCCAAGTTACCGTAAGTGACCTCCAACAAGTCAGCTGCCTCACTATAGGAGTCATCTACATTTGGGAATGCTTGTATGAGAACATGCGCATATCCCCTTACTTGTCCCTTTAAATAGCATAATTTGGTAACACTTGCAAGATCACTCCTATCATGTACGACTGCTTTATAGACCAAAACTCCTCCCAGTTTTCTCCCGGATTAAACACAGGCATGCATAATTCTGGGAGTTTTGGTAGACACCTCTGATTTTCCTTACTAGGTTGACCAACAACATTGTTTACAACCTTTACCTTCTCCAAAGCCTTAGTTTTGCAGGACACAATGTTGTCCTCCACTTCATAATATTGATCCAGCAGCCGCTCCCTTTCAGCATCATCTGCACAATTCACCAGAAGATCGCTCTCACAGTCCTTATACCACAATTTATGACTCATATCTATTTTCTAAGGCATCTAGGTGTAACTTTAATTCATCAGGGTTTACCGTTTCTTGTCCCATTAACTCCATACACTTGTATGATTTAGTAACATGACCCTTCCGAGCTTGTAGTGATGCTTTCTTTGCTTTGGCATCCATGGACTTGCCAGCTGCACTAACTTCCTCAGACCCAGCCATGGTTAGGGAATTAATAATCACCAATTATACAACTTAAGTAGACACCTTGTGAGAGTAATTCTTGCACTTTACTCTTGTATAAATCCTAGCCACCCATGTGCTAGTAATTAATTGGGCTAATTATCATCCACCACACGACCGATTAAATTTGTGTACCCTATACCCACTTTCTTCAATCAGTCACTTAATTATTGAGTAATTAATTCAATTAATTTTTCACTGATTTCATCCAGTTTGAAGGACCAGCAGGCAGATATGGAAAATTTACTAGGGGTGTTATCTGTACGTACCTCAACATTACATACATACGAGTAATCTCATTGGGAGACAACAACTATGTTGTTTACCGCAGTCACCCCGTGTAGACATGTGAGAAAACTTAACCACCTCTGGTCACTGCAAGTGGCCCCCTCGACCCCTCACAATCTTATCCATATCTATCCGAGACCAGTATAAATTGGATAGCACCCTCAAGTACGGCGCTACTAATTAATTGTGGACTGTATAGATTATATTAGTGTAACTGAATGAAGGGGGGGAGGGGTAGGTTACACATGGATATATCCATCAAGGAAAGACACTTGTACATAATCCCACCACTTACCAGATATTCTCTGGTCACTTGATGTAGCTGGATCACCCATAACCCATCCAATTACAACATACCTAACTGGCCAGTATCAGTCTGCTATAACTAGAAAGGTTACTTAGCTGTGGGTGATTGATGCTTCTTATTTCCTCCATTCACCATCTCATTTCGATGTCCTGTTACACTGACACGGTTCTTATTCCAGCAGGACGAGAGGTATCCGTTGGTTTGTCCCGGTTTAGAAGCCGTGACTCCATAAAAACTTCACTATCCTCGAGACAGGAACAACGAGGTAAACATGTGCACACACACTCTGGGAATGGCAGCTCATATCGCTTCAACGATTCCTTAACTTAGTGTTATTATCACTGATTACATTACAGTTCACGAGACGATTTAATGTCTCATAATTATTATACACATTAGAGGTCACTCCATTAAGATCTGAGACTGATGAGTGAGGATTAACTCACGGGTAATTTCCCCTGGACACATCCATGGCGGTGCACCGTCACCCCCGGTCCTACTATTATCCACTCATTTTACCACTTTATTACGGTGGTCACGTAAATCACGTTCCCTCTCTCTTCACCAGGAACAGTTACGACGACTCACTCCCTATTAGGAAGTGAGGCCTATATTAATCCTTAGGCCGCCATGAACGCCAATTTCCTGATCCCATGCTTTCACAGCCTCCTCACTACATTCAAAACACTGCCGCCAACCCATGCCCTGAGTCGACCTGTCCCCCCCCCCCCCGCACATCCGCGCAGGCGCAGGGCGAACCCGGTTGGTTCTATTCAAAATACAAATACATTTTGACCCAAATCAACACATTAAACACTTATTAGGCACTATAGCTTCGGAAATTAAATAATTTCCACAGGCTTCTTGCGGTTCTTGATGAACACGGAGTTCCACGAGTCTGGGCCTGGGGCAGAGTGCATTTCATTACATATATGGAAAATCTGTACTACCTATGTGTTCCAGTCCTTGGACCCATTATGTGCATCTGCAATTTTTATGACTACCGCCCACAAGATGAGTATGGGGTGCATAATAAAGATATTAAAAGAACTATCAGTCAGCCATGTCTCGTTCCATGAGAGAACCGTTACTCCATTTTACTATATTCTTCAATTTATGGGTATAATGAAATAGTTGACAACCTTAACACACTACTGAAGTCTCTCAGCTTAGGCTGACAGATCTAATCTTGCGTGAAGTGCTATAGTTCAGAGTAGCTACACATGTATTGCAATCAGTTAAGTTTTGATATCTATAAAAGTGATTATATACTTTATGTATTATCGCTTCGGCGTTTTTTGTTTTAATAATAATAATAATAAAACCTACCATTCCATGTTATTCACCTATTTTTGTTTATAATGATGTACAAATGCCAAAATAAAAACCACAAGGAACAGCAGCAAGTGGCAAGAGCTGGAGGAGGGAGTGTGAGTTATCACAGAGCAGCACACAGCTGCTCAGTAGTGTTGTGGTGGGTGCTCCTGCTCCCGTTCTCTTCACTTGGTGAATAACTTTTTTTAATCTTAGTTTAAGGTTTCTTCAAAGGGAGTGTCTTGATGCTGGTAAAGAGATCTTGATCTGAGGAATTAGAGCTTTCGTGTCCCATAGTTAGAACTACTTGAATCACATTTCCCTGGCGCTTATGATTCTTGTGTTTCCAGCTCGTAAATACAACGTATTCATATATATTGTCAGGCGCTGTAAAACCACTACGGGTTTAATGCACATATTCAGTATAATCCTAGGGAAGCCCTAAACCTGTTGGGGTCATACATCTCATATACAATGACAGATGTACACATTTGGTTGTATATACTCTGCAAGTTCAGTATATATAAATACTATCAATATAGGTGCCGTGTTGCTGGTGAGGCTCTTGATCCAAGGAGATCATGGCTTAGTTGATATTATTATTATTATAATCAAGGGGGAAGCGCTAAACCCAGAGGATTATACAGCGCCTGGGGGGGGGGGATGTGGAAGGCATTCAGGCTTAATTCGGGGAACTGGAGCACAGATCCAATTCCCAAAATCAAGAGCCCCTCACCACCAAGCCCCCCTTGAGGGGGGGCTTGGTTGATAGCATCCTCAGTTTACACGCTGGTTATCCAGGATCGATCCCCGATACGGGTGAAGTGTTGGACATGTTTCCTTACACCTGCTGTCCATGTTCACCTAGCAGTAAGTAGGTACCTGGGTGTCGACTGGTGTGGGTCGCATCCTGGGAACAAGATTGAAGGATCCCACTGGAAATAAGACGACAGTCATCAATGATCTTAATATTCCAACAAAATCATACATTAACCTCCCCTTCCATGGATCAAAGGTGACTGCCACCCAATTCCCAGGAGCCATATGGCCCCAATGGGTTTAGCTCTTCCACCTGATTAATGCATAAATAAGTTTTGATTTATTTAAATCTATAAATGTTTTACATACTGTTAGTAAAATAGAAGACCAGTGATCTCACTGACACTCCCAAGTCACCATACAGGCTAGAAAATCCACCCGGGGCGGCATCTTTGGTGTCACCTCCATGAGAACGTTTATGTCTTAAACTGAACAGAATACTTTTATTTATTTATTTATTTAATAATTTGAACATACAGAGGTACAAAAAAATACAGGTAAGAGCAGCATGCCAAAGCCGCTTGTATGCATAGCATTACGGCAGGCTTAAAATTAACTTAAGATTATTAAGATTATTTATTAATGATAAAATAAATAATCGTAGTAATATTGAGGAAACATAAACTCAAATACCACTTTGAGTAAAGGCATCTTCAACAATGCCAAAAAAATAAAAAATAAAAAATTAAAAATAAAGAAAAACATTACAGTATCAGATAAACAGTTCTGATTTGACCTTGAGTACATTATTATTATTATTATTATCAAAAAGAAGCGCTAAACCACAAGGGCTATACAGCGGAACCTTGAGTACAGGAAACGTCTCGGTGAATCTGATCTTATATTTCCTTGCCTTCAATCCTGGAAAATCATCTATCACATCATCAAAATCAATGATTTTCCCTATATAGGCCTATTTGTACTCTGTAATCATGTAATAGGCTATATAGAAACGAAGGCCCCTCAGGGAAGGTTCCTTGATGTTGATGAGGGGCTCTTGATTTAGGGAATTGGATCTGTGCTCCAGTTCCCCGAATTAAGCCTGAATGCCTTCCACATCCCTCCCAGGCGCTGTATAATCCTACGGGTTTAGCGCTTCCCCTTGATTATAATAATAATAATAATAGAAACGAAGGATTCTTCTCTGCAGCACTGTTTTGTACATTAGTGTCACCTTTAGAGGCTCTGATAAAAGGTGTCTGATGAATGTAGCTACAGAAAGGGAGGGGATTTTTTTTTTTATTTTTCTAGCTAACACACGTGTAATCTTGGATGAAGGGAGGAACTTATGGCGCTTCCATGTCTTCTAGTAACTGTCCCTCTGCTGTCCCTTTCTTTTTTTTTTTTCTTTTTTCTCCAGACTTTTCATATACCCTTGCATCTTATGCTGGTGATGCTTCATCACTTGCTCCAAGTGCTGAGGCTCCACCCATTTCTTCTAGTGCCTCGGCCTCTTGCACGCCTTTAGCTATGCGTCCAGCTTCCCCAAATACTGTATGATGCTTTTCGGATCACCCGAGGTCCTACGCCTAAACGCTCCAGGCTATTTGCTGACAACGGTTCTTCGATTTCTCCTCATTCCATCCAGAAATGACCTACATGACACTCACTTCCTTTACGCACTATGTTTACAAGTACACAGTGAACCAAATTCTTTTTCCTATATCCGACATCTCCAACTGATTATCTTTCACGCTCTTCGGAGCGGTGCACACATCGTTACAGTTCAGAATGCAGAACAAGCTCATGATCTTTCCCATCTTACTTCCATTGATAACATTCCTATCACAGTTCACAAGCATACTACTCTCAGTTCTTGCAGTGGTACGGTGGTTTTACCGTGTACCATTGTACAGTGTGATTTTGGAGCAATTAGCCCTTCAGAACCTTCTGATTCTCAAAGTGGATACATATGTCCTGCCCGCTCACAGGTAGAGGTGCTTTCCCAATAACATTGCCTGCTTAACTTTTGACTGCCGTGAACTCCCATCCTCCATTTATATTGCGGGCCATCACCTAGGGGTCCATAAAGTGGTCCCTACACCCCAACAGTGTTAAAATTGCTGGTACTTCACACATCCCGCTAAATACTGCAGGTCTGTGGCAGAGTGCCCAGTCTGTGGTGCCACAGATCATGCCGATACATCTTGCGGTCTTCCCCTTCCCTTGTCTTAATTGCAATGAAACTCGTCCTTCTTTTTCCCACCGATGTCAGGTCTGTCTTAACCCTTTTACTGTCTAGACCCCTGGTCACAAACTTGCTCTTAGTGTCGAAGAATTTGAAAAAAAAAAATGAATTTTTCTTATGAAATGATAGAGAATCTTCTCCCAGTGGCAATGACACCAAAAGTACGAAATTTGCTGGAAAAATTATAGAATTACAATTTTGCAAAGTTAGCAGTCTCAGCGATATTTGCGCATAGGCAATTTTGCCCACGCTAAACCCTATTTTCAGCCAATTCCATTGTTCCAATCGACCAAATTCATAGCTATTTCACTAGAACTCATTTTGTTCTATCGATTAAGTATAATAAACTGCCCATTTACTGATTTCAAGTACCCAATAAAGTGATCAGAATTTGGTGATTTGGGCAATTTCATACACAATTCAAGGAAGGCCAGTTTCAAAATAGGGTCCAGAATTAACAATGCAGACATTCCTAGCATTAAAATAACATTTTCTCTGTTCACTAGTCATGTCTCCAGGCCCTCTTACATTATGCTTGCTTTCCAGTTTGAATTTTTATTCACATAAAAAATAGAAGATTTAATGTTATGCAGAAAACTGCATTATTGTAAAAATGGTATAAATAATATCAGCGCATTTGTGAAAACACATTAGACCCACCAGTTGACACGTATTGGACGTGATATGATTTGTTTATTCTCGAACATCGCAAAAGTCGAACATTTCCGCTACTTTGAGCTCAATTTCAAGGTACTTTTAGTTAGTAAACCAAGAAAACGGGAATACACCCGTAAATACCATAGGAAAATACACTGCAAAGTCGTTGTGTTAAATGAAAAACACTGTCAGTTTTTTTTCGCATTATGCACTGAGTGCTGCAGGATTTTTTTTATACTGTACACACTGACCACTCAGAGCCTTTCTCTCATATGTAGGCATACCAGCTTTGTCCCGCAAGATTGGAAGTCACTAGAATTTTGGTGTACTATTACGGGACCGACACTGGCTTGCAAGTCGTAATATTATGAGACCGACAGTGAAGGGGTTAATGAACGAGAAATCTGTTGTCTTAAGGAGAGCAAAGGCCTTATGCTATGGCTGTCTCTCGGCTCCACCTTCAGGGGAATCTTCCTCATGTTCCTTATTCTTGCATAGCTAGGACACCTCCAACCTTGACGGTCCATCTACCAGCTCCTATTGTGCCATGTCTTCTGGGGTCACCCCCCCCCCATCTCTAATTCTTTTGTGGGTTTTACCCTCTAAAACCCCACCTTCTTACCTCTTCCTGCTTCTTCTTCAGTCGCCCGCTAGCTTCTCAGTCTGTGAGGCTTCACACGCCTGTGTCTTCTTCGCACCTATCACCTGCAAAGTTGAACTTGTTTCCTATACCCAAGTCTCTTTGCACTTCTCCAGTGCTTACAATTCCCCAACAGTTCTCCTTTTCGGCCTCGGTACCTAATTCTCGCCCCCTTTCCAACTCTCACACGAAGGCGGAGGTTCACACCACTCACGTGGTCCCCTCTTCTTCTGGTTACTCCCCAGACTTCTCCCCAATCCCCTTCCAGCCTCCTTCCTCTCCTGTTCCATCGCTGGACTCTTCTGTCCCCGCTGGCACATCTCTCCAGGTTCATACTCCCTTCCCCTCTCAAACTTCTTTGGTCTGAGTCTCCCCGATCTCTACTTGTCTACCTCACTTGTCTCTGAAGTCAAGGTATCGGCATCTTCCTTGTCTGCTGAAACACTTGATGCTATCTCCAACTAGTATATTGCAGAAACGAAACCCTCAATAGACACCAGTGCTCATTCTTATGCCCCTTTTTATTTTTTTACAACCCTCGCAGCAATCTTTTCCTTAACAACATTCTGATTCCTCCTTGTTTACACTCTCTCCATTGCTTCCACACATTGACTTCACTGACCCTACTAGCCTGTAGATTTTATCATTTCTCATTGTTAGCATACCTGTCTTTGTGAATAACAACTTATTTACAATGGAATATTCGTGGCCTCTGGTAATTGGAGAGATCTCCAGGTGTTGCTCTCCCAGTTTTCCCCAGTATGTGTCGGGTTACAAGAACCTAAAGTTCGTTCAGCAGTTATCTGTCTCGTTTTGGGCTTTGTGCTGTTGCATTCTTCTGATCCCTTTCCTGATGAAACTTTTAATGAGGGCACTCTTGTGCACATT